ACAAAAATTACAAGCGATTAAAAAGTTATCTATTTTTTATGGTAATCTGCCTGTTCAAAAAGTAGCAAAAAAAACGTATACTTATTTAGACAAACAAAAGAGTTTGAAATTTTCAAGGCGAGAACTCACTAAATTTTAAACTAAATATACTAATATCAGGAAAATAATAGATTAAAAACAGGCTCCAGTTTCCACGATCTATCGAACTACAAGGAAAAGGGAAYCAAAAGGCTAAGAACTGGGAGGGAAGACAAACAATCCAACTTCCACGATCTATCAAACTACCAGGAAAAGGGGACTCAATGACTAAGAACTGGGTGGGAGGAGTAGACATTAGGGATACTCTTAACCTCACAGTCCAAAACGCTGTAAAGAGCCTTTGTTGCCTAGACGGGTTTCCCACCACGCACCCAATGGATACAACTCTAGTTTGATCTTCACCGGGTCTCTCATATCATCCCAACCCTGCGAGTGTCCCCCTGAACTACTACAACTATACCCCAGCACTTGAAAATAACAAAAAATTATGAGTCTCACTCACATATGAAAACCACAGCAAACGGTAGATGGCAATTATTCTACCCTTGCACCCAGGAAACGATCCCACCACCACTAGTGAGTCTCCCACTCCCACTTGTGGCGCCGTCACCCCAACGGGTTTCAGGGCTTTATAACTATCCAAATACAGAAAATTGGCGAGACAGCGAACTAAAGGAGCAATCCCAATGACTAAGCGCTGGGTGGGAGGACTGGACATTAGGGTCACTCTCTCAACCTCACATCTCAGAACGCTGTAAAGAGCCTTTGTTGCCTAGACGGGTTTCCCACCACGCACCCAATGGATACAACTCTAGTTTGCTCTTCACCGGGTCTCACGTATCAACCTACCCTGAGAGTATAACCCTAAGTCACTGCAACATACCCCTGCTCTTAATAATATCGAGCAGCTGTGAAACTCCATCTTACATAGGGACTCAATACTATTGCCAACGATAGATGAGAACACAGCCCTACGGGAATGAACAGTAAAGCATCTAACAGAAAACTACGTGGTACATATCTACTGCAAAGATTATAGTTGAAAAAGTCAACCGAGGAAAACTCAACGACCAAAGATGAAAACATGGATAAACATTAAGGTGATCCACACATCAACACACAAAAGATGAAAAGGATGGACGAGCATTAGGGTGATCCACACATCAACGCAAACCTAAACACTGTAAAGAGCCTTTGTTGCCAAGACGGGTTTCCCACCACGCACCCAATGGATACAACTCGAGTTTGCTCTTCACCGGGTCTCTCATATCATCCCAACCCCGTGAGCTTCACCCTAAAACCATCGCAAACCAAATTAATCGAAAACTCGGAACATGAAATAAGTGAGCGTCAAAATGCCTTGCAAATGAAGGTAGGTCAAACGAGACTTGCTGCAGCCSCAAGCCAAGTCGAGTGAAAAACTCAGCGTGTAAGGTAAGTAAACATCATACTGCCTCGCGACACAAAGGTCGAACAGGACTTGCTGCAGCCCTTGAATATGCCGGAGCGCTGCCACCGCAGCCGCACGCTCTCCCACTGCGTCCAGGTACGCCGCTCCGCCTTCCATGCTTTCCTTCTAATCGAGGCAGTCCAGATAACGTGTCGTAAAGTACACCGCGCGGCCTGTAGGTATTAAAAAAGGAGCCCCCCCTTTCCGGCAGGAGGCTTGAGGGGAAGGCAGCTCCTCTGGTGTCGAGGTCTCGTGAGGTCTGTAGGTTGTTATAGAGGTCGGATACGGAGCTGCCAGGATGCCTTGGCATGAGTGCAAAGGCAATCCCTACCCACTCAAGGGCTAGGCTATGCCAAGGCACTGTCGCCATAGCTCTCACACAGCCTGGCAGGGTAGGTGCCACGTAGCAATGATAGAACCTGAAGTTCAAACGCCCCACCTACACAGCCACGACTATCGAGGACCGGGCGCCGCCACCACCGCTGTCGCCGCTGCGTTAACGCACACTCGCGCGGCCCCCGCAGTCTCCTACTGTTTTTTTTTTTCCGTTTCCGTTCAGTTGCCTTTTTTTTTTTTTTTCGTTTTTTTTTGTTTTTTTTTTTCGTTTTT